TTAAAAATAAATAAATAAATAAATAAAAATTTTAAAAAAGTTAAAAAACAAACAAACAGACAAAAACAAGAAAATCCCATCCTTCTACACCCAGAAACACAATCTGTAAGTAGAGACAGAACATTTGTTGTCCTCGGGTAAATCAGCCCCTGAAGAGAACAGACTTACAGTGCAAACACAACCAAAGCCTCCTGGAGTGCGTGTTTAAACAGTATTCCATAGGTCAGGGTTGGAATCCACAGTCCCTGACTTCCGATTCAAAAATACCAATTTTCTTAGCAAACAGATAAAAAATGGGATTAAACAAGGCAAAAACAAGGGTTTCTCTATTGGCTGGTATGGATTACTAAAGAAAATGAACACCAAGGTTTCAGAGTCCTAGGGACAAATCTGTAAGCACAACGGTTAAAAGAGAATGCCACCAGAAGAGGTCCCGATACAGACGACAACCCTCACCATGATGTCACGCTGCTGGTGAGCAAGATTCCTTCTTATCCGTTGGAGGTGGGCATGGGTCACATTGTCTTTTAGGGCTCTAAAGCAAAAGTACTGTGAAAACAAAAAAGGGCACAATGGGTCACAAAAGTGTCTGTAAAAATAAGCAGTGCCCAAATCAGGTGGCAAGAAGCTCAGCCATAGCTGGTCACAGCTGCTCCCATGTCCCTGAGAGTGTTTCTCTGCTCTGAGTTTCAACTGGGAGCCTGATACAAGCCAGGCGGAACAGTAGGCACTTCATAAATAGCTGCCGAACCACTCCTTGCTGTCCATAATAATGCATAGGAACAAACACTCCCTCACCTCTGAGCAGGACAGATCCCCATGAGCCATATGGGAATACTACAGACAAAGGCTGAAAACATCAACTTAGCCTCTCAGAAAGGAGACAGACTTTTAGCCTACGATTTTTTTTTCCTTAACCATGCAGGGTCAGTGTTTATACTTACACAATTACAAATGCAGTTTGGCAAGAGAAGAATAGAAGGAAGAGAAGGAATCCTTGGGGGTTGGGAGTTGGGGGTTGGGGTAGACGCAGGACATGCCAGCCTGGCTCCAGCTCCATCAATGCCTCACATGTGGCCTAAGCTAAGCCGATTCCCCCATGGCCTGGGTTTCAGTTTTCTGACACAGAAGTGAAGCGATCAGGGGTTCTCACATTATGCTCTGTGGAACCCCACAGGATACTAAAAGTGTCAGTGAGGGCTGAGGAGAGAACAGGTACTACTCCCCAGACCTTGCTTCGTCCTCCGCATCTCTACTTTGATCAATTGCACAGACAAGGCTCCCCTCCAGGACTAGATCATCTCTAAGATTGTGTTATAGCTCCAAATCCCTCTGACCCCACCATTACCATCTCTGATCCAAAGTGAAAATAGAGACACCTGCAACAGAGGAGAGCTTCATGATGAAGCTCACGTGACCAGATGCACTGAAAGAGCATGATGTGGGTCCCCCAAGAGTGTATGCCTGAGCAAGGCTGACATGCTTACCAGCAAGCTGTGCCTACAGTGCTCTTCTGCCACCTTCCACTGGGCAGCTTCTTCTGCACACAGCAACACATCTGCTAGGAGTTAAGGCCTCTCCTCTCAACAGGGTTTCCACCCCCACACAGTATAATCCTAGTGACCACCTGAAGGGTTCTGGTCTCCTTGTGCTAGCTTCGCTCCTCTATTCTAGATTTACCCCTTAAAGTATAAATCTGCTGTACCATTTCTCAAATACTTCCAGAGGATCCCCAGTGCCACCAGGATAAAGCCCAAATTCCTGACCACTACACACATGGGTCCTCAGTCAGCATCTACCTGCGCTACCCTACTGCAGCTACACCCCACTCACTCCAGACCCGTCACCATCCTTGGATGCTTTTCCTCATCTATGCCTGTGTAAGTGCCATTCCTCCCACCTGAAGCACCCTTCCTGATTTCTCTGCTGGGACAACTTGTCATCCCCTAGGACCTTCTATTCAGCTCAAACATCTCCTTGGCTCAATTGCCACAGCAGCTCTCGCAGGACTTGATATAAATCTTTACCATAGCACTTATCACACTATATTGTAAAGAACCATTTTCATGTCTATTTTTCCCACTAGACTGTTAGCCTTTGAGTTTCCCCATATTCCAGAACTTGGGCAAGAGTTTAAAACAAAGTAAGAGTTTGATGAACAAACGACCATGTAGATGGAAATCTCAGGCAGTCTAAATCCTTACCCCTGGGCACATACTGTGGTAGGGGCAGTGTCACTAAAGTCAAAGGCCCAGGCTTAAAAAACCCTGGCTCTGCCAATGACTTGCTATTTGTTTGAAAATTACTTAGACCTCTTGAATCTCTGTTTCCTTGTCTATAAAATGGATATAGTGAAACCCACTCATAGGGTTGCTATGATGATTAAGGACAAATGCATAATGCCTACATGTGGTAAAAACCCAATAAATGGAAGCTATGATCATAATGATAGGTCAGCCAAGAACAGATGGCTTTCTGAAACAAAAATGAAATAAAACAAATTTCTGAAACAGAAATGGCTGTGGCCGTTTCCACCACCTAGTGGGTAGAGAAAGGCTATGAAATTATAACATAAAATTCAGGATAGCAGGATTACCTCTGAGGAGGAGGAAAAGGAACGCACTCGAGGAAGAGCAGACAGGGTATTAGCAATGTTCTATTGTTTAAGCTGAATGGTGGGTTCATAGGTGTTCAATTTATTGTTATTCTATAAACTGTAAATGTATGTTATACATACTATTTTGTATGAATATTCCCAATTAAACAAAAGTTTTTAAAAGAAGTCAACAGACACCAGGACTATTAACCTGTTCAGTAATTGTTTCCCACGTATCTCCTGGCTCATCTTACAGGCTGCTGAGCTCACACTGTCTGGGCTGAGGGGGAGAACAGGGCTGTCAGGCTGAAAGGATACAGTGTTTCCAGTGAGTAAAGGCCCTCCGCAGCACCATCCTTCTGGCCAGCACCTCCACCCGTGCGCGGTGAGCACGCAAGCTCTCCCTCTGCTGCCAGGCCCACCGCCAGTCACAGAAGTGTGTCTGAAGCACAGTGACTCGGTGGAATTGCTCAGCCATCTCTGCAACAGAGAAAATAACTTAAGTGCTGCCCCTTGCCACACACATTGGGCAATGAGCAGGAAGCATCTTTAATACAAGCTGAACCCCACTACTGGCAGACAGCAGGGATTCAAGGCTGCTCTCATAGAAAATCCTAGAATAGGCCCTGGCCAGGTAGCTCAGTCAGTTAGAGCGTGGTCCCAATGCACCAAGACCATGGTTGTAGGTTCAATCCCTGGTCAGGGCACATACAAGAATCAACTAATGAATGCATAAATAAGTGGAAATATAACTTGATGTTTCTCTCGCTCTCTCCCTTCCTTCCTCTCTCTAAAAATCAATTTTTAAAATCCTAGAATAAATGTTTTCTAAACATGGGAGGGTTATTAGGAATCCCTTAGCTACATCTTTTTTTTCCAGGGAAAGAGAAAAAGTCTGTAATTTTAGGGAAGAGAATGCTATAAAATCAAAGAGCTGAGGTTCCTAGTTACTACTGGTGAGTAAGAATGGCAACTGTTGCTTTCAAAGACTCCATTTTTTTTCTGCCACTTTACTAATAATGTCTCCCAGATAGACTTTAGGGACCGAGTCAATGACACACAGTTCAGTCAATATGCTAGCAAAGGCTTTTTGGAGCTTTCAGCCAGGCTGATGCCAGCTGCTAGCTTCATTTCCTTTTAACACAATGAGCTAATAGCCTGATGACCTGAAGTCCAGGAAGTAGAAGGGAGTCGGTCCTGGAATTCAAAAGCTGTGGCTGGAGGAACATTAGTCTGCAGCTCATCATTCCTACTAGCTTAATGCCTTCTCGTTCTGGGCTTGGGCAACCAGGCAGTGGTCCCTTGTCACTATTCTCAAATGGACATATTCAAACTCTCCCCAGAGACAGAGTAGCAGCCTAGAGATCTCTGCAGAGAGGTCTAAGTGAAAGCTGGAGAGTCGAACCCAGCATCTAGCACAGAGCTTGAGTCACTTTTGAGTAGGCTAAAGAAACAAAAGTACAAAAATACTGATGATCATGACCTATATACGTATTACTACTTCTTAACTCTCAGTGGGAAATAAACCATTTGAACAGTGTTCAAAAAACTCAACATCAGAATTTGGAGACTGCCTCCTCTGGGACCGCATGCGTTAATAAAGGTCTCCTTTCGCCTCAAAAAAAAAAACCACCTCAACATCATAAGTCACATGCATTCACATAACGAGGGACAAACAGAAACAATCCAAATATCTACCAACAGAAGAATGGCTAAGTAGANCCACCTCAACATCATAAGTCACATGCATTCACATAACAAGGAACAAACAGAAACAATCCAAATATCTACCAACAGAAGAATGGCTAAGTAGATTAAGGTAAGCCATTCTATTAAATGCAGCCATTAAAATAGTATAACATTTGCGAAGAATACTTAAAGAATACACAGGAAAGTGTAGGTTAGTTGTATGGGGGGAAAAGCAATACACAAAATTGCATGTATTCTATTAATCATAATGACACGGTAGTTATAGCATAATCAAAACCCTAATGAATAAAACATGGATAGAAGAAAAGGCCAGAAGAAAATAAAAGTGAACTGAGGAGGGTGTATTTTCCTCCTCAATCTCCCTATACCAAAATTAGTGGCATAATATGGCTATATCTCTCCTTAATAAATTAGCACCACTGGCAAAAGAAGAGTGGAAACTGTGACCCGACCCTCTCTCTCTCGAGCCGGGGACTTCCTGCTCACCATTCTGCTGTCGCTTTACCCTCTGGACCTGCAGGTATTCAAGCCAGGCCTTCAGGGATCTCCACTTTTGCCAGTGCTGGTGGTGTTTCACTGCGGAGACCACCTTCTGTCTCTCCCTCTGTACATGCAGGAGCCGTTCCAGCCACCGTGACCAAGCCTGAAAAATAAAAGGCAGCGATCAAAGGAGAGGCAAGAACGCAGAGGGGGAGTACAGGCGAGGGAAACCGAAACACACACACACACACACACACACACACACACACACACACTGGAAAGGCAAAAGTCAGACGCAAGGAAGTGACAATCTCTAAGCAGGATCATAGCAATGGGAATGTGGGGTCAAAGAATCCTAAGAAGGGCATTCTGCTTCCAGAAAGTAAGTTTTTTTCTGGATTAAGGACAAAAATAAAAAGGAATAATAAAATCAATGAGCAGACAAGAAGCAGGGACAATTCAAGGGTGATATAATTCAGACTTGGGATAGGGGAGAGCCTGCCTTTTCTTTCAAAGTGGGAGGAAGCCTACTGTCAAGAGGCCCTTCCTCAGACACATTATTTTGCTGGAAGCATGTCTCCAGAAGCTGAGGTCTACGAAAAGATTCCCTTACAGACTATCCATAAACGAGCACCCTTAGGAAAATCTTCACGTTACACTCAGAGATAAGCAAGCCTTAGTGTGAAGATGACTGTCTGAGACAATGACTTCATACCTTCTTAAACCTGTAACACCTCTTCACCTTTCTTTCCTCTCAGCTGAATACCATTCTTCCTATTTCATCAAGAAAATAAAAGCAATCAAAAAAGAATTTTCTCAAGCTCCCCCCCACTCTATGCACCCACCTGCCCACAGGCCCTGCCTTCCCTCCTGTTACTCTGGATAAACTGTCCATGTTTCCATCAAAGGTCACCCCTTCCACTAAGTATATATCCCATCTCCTCTCACCTTCTCAAGTTTATCACTCTGGCAATTCCCCTTATTTATGCATTCATTGGCTGCTTCTTGTATGTGCCCTGATCAGATATGGAATCCACAACCTTAGTGTATTGGAATGATGCGCTAACCAATGGAGCTACCCAGCCAGGACCTCAAATCAACTCTTAAAACTATAAAATAAATTTAAAAATTTAAAAGTAACTTTGGAGCAAAAAGGGAGGTAATTACTTTTTTTTGTAAATCAATCAAAATTACACTTTTTGTTAGACTGGCAAAAAATAATATTTCTTGGTGTGTCACAGAATTTTAGTAATTAGTTTGTGTGCCATGAAATGAAAAAGGTTGAAAATCGCTGCCCTAGGCTTACGTCTACTTCCAGTTCTAGACCTGGAATCAGCCATTTCTCCAAAAACCCTCAGTTCCTTTAGTGGGAAACAACAAGAGACCACAACTTGGGCTCTTAGAATGCCAAATGCTGTATTACTGCCACCGCTTCTAAGTCTTTTCAGTAGAGTCAAAAATAGGTTTTATAGGTAAAAAAAACAAGAAATCTAGAGTCCATATTGATATTTACATTTCCAGTTTCAGATTTACAGGGCTTTTATTTAATTTCTTTGATTTTATACCTGTAATCTTTTCTTTTACACTGAAAATTATGATTCCTAATGATACTGCCATAGCTATTTGCTTTATCTTACAACATAGCTATAATCATTTCAACATAACTCCAAACCTGCTAACAGTAAGACTACTGAATACAGTTTTAGATTTCTTGGCAGTTCCCTGTGTCCTTACACTACATCCCACTAAGGAAGAACAGTCAAAATACTGTATTTTAAAGTTACTTGAAGTAATTATTTTCTCTGTGTAGTCACTGCTACAAACTTGATACGTTTGTTTCAGTGTGTCTTAAAATCCTAGGGATTTTTTTCCTTTTTGATTTACTTTTGTTTTTTTAATTGTATATAAAATATCTACAGGGTTCCAGAGTTAAAAATATATAACAAAGTAAATTCACAAAAAATACTTTTTTCCAACATTGTTCTGTCCCTCACTCTCTTTATGTAACCACTTTTTGTTAATTTTTGGTTTATTTTCCATGAAAATATAAGCAAACACAATCTCTCCAGTGTCTCTCCCTCCCTTTCTTACTCAAAAGGCAGCACATAATGAACCAGAGGGATCCTATGAACAGGTAAGTGTGATCACATCACTCTTCCATTCAAAGCCAATAGCTTCCCGCACCTCTGCAATAAGAGCCAAAGCCTTTAATGCGCAGAGCCTGCAAAGCCCTACAATCTGCCTCCTTGCCACCTTGTGACCTAACTAACCCTTCCTGTTCTCTTGGACACCAGTGTCCAAGAATTCAATTCAATTCTGGCATTATCTACCTAAGGACAGCATCCAACATTACTGCCAACATCTGTAATGGTTAATAAGTCCTGAAAAAGTATGTGGAGAGAAACGAGCTTCCATTGGGACATGGGAGTGGGCAGAAGAGAACATCAGGTGCAAAGACTCTGGGCCCACCTAGTTGCTTGGAGCTAACCCGTAAATTTAGCTCTGAACTTTATTCTTTACTGCCTTTTTAAATTTTTTGTTTGTTATTGCACTTTTTTTTTTTAATCCTCCCCTGAGGATATGTTTTTCACTGATTCCAAAGAGAGGAGAAGGGAGTGGGAGAGAAACTCAATGAGAGAGAAACATTGATCGGTTATCTGATGCACGCACCCCGACTGGAGATCCAACTCATAACCTGGGTATGTGCCCTGATCACAAATCGAACCCAAGACCCTTTGGTGCACGGGACAGTACTCTAACCACTGAACCCACCAGCCAGAGCTGAACTTTTTTTTAATCCTCACCTGAGGATATGTTTTTATTGATTTTTTTTTTAAAGAGAGAGGACGGGAGAGAGACATACAAACATTGATGTGAGAGAGAAACATCGATCAGTTGCTTCCCATCTCGCCTTGACCTNGACGGGAGAGAGACATACAAATACTGATGTGAGAGAGAAACATCGATCAGTTGCTTCCCATCTCGCCTTGACCTCCCATTCGTGCCTTCACAGGGGATGGAACCCACAACCCAGGTATGTACCCTCCCTGAGAATCAAACCTGCAACTCTTTGGTGTATGGGATACCTGGCCAGGGCTGAACAGCTTTTTTTTTTTTTTTAATTATAGCTGACATTAAATATTATATTAGTTTCAGGTGTACAACATAGTAGTTAGACATTTACATAACTTAAAAGTGAACCCCCTGATATTGCCAAGACAGTTTTTAAAAAGAACAAGTATAAAGACCCCTTTCCATATATGAAGATTTAGAGCTATATAATAAGATTAGTAGTAGTAATAAATGGCAAGCATTTACTGAGCATTTCCATATTCCAAGCATCACCCTTTGTGGGTATGGGGCTTGACAACATGGACAGAGAACACCAAAACTTGAGTCTGCTGTACTCACCTGCAGCTGGAGGCTCAGGGCCCTGTGCTTCACAGCTGAGGCATAGAGAGCATGTCCCACACGGACCTGTCCCAGTTGCCGCCTCCACTCGCTCCACCACATCCTGCCAAAGAGCAAATTAAAGATGGAACCAGTCAGAAAAACGTCATGCAGAAAAGAGAAGGGTAGTGAGGGCTGGGACTCAGGCTCTCAGCTCAAGTCCCTCCGCCTCACTGTGCCATCTCTAGACTGATTATCTGTTAGAGTCACTGCTAAAAAACTCAATTAAGGAACAGTCCTAAAGCTACCAATTAAAGGTTGGAAACTGACGGTTCCTAAGTTTAGATCCAGCCTTAGACAACATGCTCTGTATGGGCTACACAAGTTTTTAAAAAAATATAATAAATTGTTGCCAATATTTTAAAAATCAGGAGAGTTCATAGAACCTGCAAAAAAAAAAAAAGTAGCTTTCAGATTTCTAGTCTTTTTTTTTTATAAATATATTTTATTGATTTCAGAGGGAGGAAGGGAGAGGGAGAGAGAGAGAGAAACATCAATGACGAAAGAGTCATTGATCGGCTGCATCCTGCACGTCCCCGACTGGGGATCGAGCCTGCAACCCAGACATGTGCCCTGACCAAGAATCAAACAGCAATCTCCTGGATCCTAAGTCAATGCTCAACAGCTGAGCCATGCCTGGCCAGACTAGATTTCTAGTCTTGATGTATCCCTTCCTTTCCTACTGTCCTGGCCAGGTTTCATTCCAGTCGCAGTTTCTTTTCTGCTTATTTTCTAAAAACAGTAATGAGGATATGCAAGTTGGCAACCTCTGTTTTACAGAAACACTCAATTTGCCTGGTCACTCTAACTCACCAAAATCTCTTACCTCCTAACCTAGGCCATGCTAGCTGCATCACTCACTTCAAAACCTCAAGCTATCTTGCATTATTAGCTATCTTTTTAAGCACTTAGGGAATACTAAGTTCCCCGAATGCAGCCCTGGCACTCAACATTGTACCCTCAATGTTTTAAGCCCTCAATACATTGAATAAATAAAAATATGTAATCATATCCCCTAGAGACTCTAGAATTGCACACTTAAGAATTTTTAAATATTTGCTGAATTTTAAATCACTTCAAAAAGATTTTTAAATAACTTCTGTATGTCCACTGATGTTCTGAATACTATGCTAAATCCTTTACAAATATTATCTTATTTATTCCCTATGACAACCTTGAAAGATACTTAAATGGTGTGCCTATTTCACAGATGAAAGAAGTGAGACTTGGAGAAATGAAATGACCCAATAATACATGTTGGAACAGGGATTTGAACCCAACTCAGTCTAGCTGCAAAGCCTGTGCTTTTATCCATACTATATACAGGGTCCCACTCTTTCAGGCAGGAACTAAGCTTTTAATACGCTGTCATCTGGGACACCAGAGGACCACTAGAAACAACATACAGTGGAATCAGTCCCATTATAAAATAGCTCATCATTACACAATCTGGCTTCCAAAGTCAACTAACTCATTTCCCTCCAACATGTGGACAATGCTAATGAGATGCAGTGCAGGGCAGCAGTTATAAGCATGGGTTTGGCATCAGAGAAATGCGTTTACAACTTATATGAGCTCAGGTAAGTTGCTCAACCTTCCTGAGACTTACTATATATCAATCTGTACAATAAGAATACTTCTTTTACAGTTTATGGTGAGGATTAAATGAGACCCTTTACATTTAAAAAGTTAATATACACATAGCCCAGCCGGGCGTGGCTCAGCGGTTGAGCTTCAACCTAGGATCCAGGAGATCGGGGTTCAATTCCCGTCAGGGCACATGCCTGGGTTGCGGGATACAGCCGATCAATGACTCTCTCATCATTGATGTTTCTCTCTCTTCTTCTTCTCCCTTCCTCTCTCTGAAATCAATAAAGATATTTTTTTTTTTTAATTAAAAAAATATATACACATATACTTAATACAGGGTTTAGAACATAGTGAGTACTCAATTAGTGTTACTTATGATTACATGAAAACCAGTGATCTTACAGTTGAACAAGTTGTCAGTGTTTATTAGGTTCAAAACTGTTTTAAGGTGGGTTTTTATGCAGCTTTCCAGCAGCATAAATCAAGGCTGAGATAAAATGATAGTTGCTGAACTGTAGGGCATCTGAGCACACTCACCGCAAAATACTCCGCTGCCTAAACTCCAGGGCGGTGGTCTGCATCTGAAGTTTGGTCCTTCGAAAAACCACGTAGACCAACCAGGACTTCCAGGCCTGTCGCATCTTTTGCTTTGCATCTAGATGCACCAAAGAGATTTTCAAAAGGAGATAGCAAGAGATGGATTACTCTGGGTTATGAAAAACTAATGGGGCAGTCTGTGCTTATCCTTCCTGTGAATTATCCAAATTCCTCCAGCCTTCAAGTGCCCCCTGCTGGAAAAGTTGTGAAGCTCTACAAAATTAATAAAGTGATGACATTTACAAAACATTTAAAGGAAAATCAATATACTGCACCGTTCAGAAATCCTTTATTTTAAAAGCCCTTTATTTTTTAGAGATAAATTATGCAACACTTACAGATGAAATGATGTGACTAACACAGGAAACAGAAAAGTGAGACTGGTGTGAGTTGATCGTTGTTGAAGCTGAGTGGGTGCATGTACATGGAAGTTCATTATTCCATCTTTTAATTTTGTAGAGATTTAAAATTTTCCATAATATGAAATTTAAAGAATAATAAATCATTTTATAAAACTTGCTGTTTGAAACAGTAATTATTTAGCATAGTAAAGTAGCATAAGCAGGACAAAAGGATACTATCTGTATCTGTTTGGAAAACAGACTAAGACGGACCACTAATGATCCTGGAGGGAAATGAATTTACTAGACATGGAGATGCAAAGGTCAACGGGTTTCCCTCTGTGGTCAATTCCGTTTTCATTATGAAAGTCATCACTAATAAAGCAAATTTCTTTTCTTTTTCACATACAAAGGAGAAAATAAAATTATATAAACTATTTTCAGAACATTCTCCAAAATGTGGTCAGTAGGACTGGAGCTATACTTTATATTTCATATTTGTTGACAAGTCGACTCAAAATATGAAGAAAAATTCAACATGTAGCTTCCTCGAGCCCACCACAGACCTCAGGAATCAGCATCCTCCAGACAATAAGGATTAGCATGGTGCTATGGTTTAGACTTTGGTCTCCCGAGTAAGAAAAGCCAGGTCTGAATACTGACCTTGTCATTTATTAGCTAAGTAACCTTGCACAAGTTCCTTATCTATAAAAATGGTGCCTTTCTTAGAGGTATGTTTGCAAAGAATAAATGAGTTTATCCACGAAAAGTGTCTCCAATAAAGGCAAGCTGTTATTTTCTGAGCATGGATCCCAGCAATCTACATTGTCTCCACCAAGATCCAGATGACAATTTGAGAACCACTCCTCCTTAAGGCCTGAAAGCTCTTGCAGACTTCTTATTTAACAGTTAAGGAGTGAATGGGCACTACCTGGGGTATGGGGATATGGCCTGAAACAATGTCATATGTCAGAAGTAACTCTTTCTATCTTAAAAAATCCAAGTGACTTTTTCCTTATACTCTATAATATGGCTGTATTTATTGTTACTATAAATAACAATGGGAGACAGCAGGATGCACATTCCTCAAAGAAACATAAAGCATTCACAAAATAGAGTATTATCTGTCCCACAAAACAAACCTTAACAAACTTAAAGAAATTGAAATCATACTAAGTCTTGTTCTCTGATCAGGATGGAATAAACTAGAAAGTCAATACTGGAAAGATACTGGAAAATCCCAAATATTAGGACTCAACACATTTCTAAAAAATCTTTGGGTCAAAAAGGAAGTCTTAAAGGGAAATTAAAAAACATTTTTTACTGAATGAAAACAGAAATGCAAAATATTAAAATTTGTGGAATGCAGTTAAAGCAATGCTTAAAAGAAACTTTATAGCAGTAAATGCTCATCTTAGAAAAAAAGGGAAGGTCTCAAATCAATAATCTCAGCTTTCACCTTAAAAAGCTAGAAAAAGAACAAATTAAAACCAAGCTTTGCACAAGTGAAATAATAAAGGTAGAAGCAGAAATGAAGGAACTTGAAAAGAGAAAAACAATAACAAAATATAAATAAATGGAAATCTGGGTTATTTGAAAAGACTTGATAAAACTGATAAAGCTCTCACCAGACAGGCCAAAAATAAAAGGCTGAAAACACATATTATCAATATCAGGAATGAAAGAGGGGCTATTGCTACAGACTCTGCAGATGTTAAAATAATAATGAAATACTTCAAATGAATCTATACCCATAAATTCAACAACATATTTAAAATGGACCAATTCCTTGAAAGACAAAAATTACCAAAACTCACTGAAAAAGGAATTGATAATCTAAATAATCTTATATCTATTTGAAAACTTGAATTCAAAGTTTAAAACTCTCCAACAAAGAAAACTTTAGTCTCTGATGATTTCACAGGAGAATTTTACCAAACGTTTAAGGAAGAAATAATACCAATTCTACAAATCTCTTTTAGAAAATATAAGAGGATGAAATATTTCCCAACTCTTTCTATGAGGGTACAACCTTGAACCAGAAACAAAGACATTAAACAAAACTATAGACCAATATTCTCTCATAAACATAGATGCAAAAATCCTCAACAAAATATTAGCAAATTGAACCCAGCAATATATAAAGAGTGGTGTTAATCTAAGGAAGTATGGCTAGTTCAAAATTCAACAATCACTTATAATTCAACATATTAATGAACTTAAAAAGAAAGGTCACAATCATTTCAAAAAAACAGAAAAATGATTTGACAAAAGTCAACATCTATTAATGATAAAAATGCTCAGAAAACTAGGAATAGAACTTCCTTAACCTGATTAAGGATATCTACAAATAACCCACAGCTAACATCATATTTGATGGTTAAAGACCAAATGCTTTTCCCCTAAGACCAAGAATAAGGCAAGTATGTCCACTCTCACAATTCCTATTTGATCTCATACTGGAAGTCCTAGCCGATGCAACAAAAAAATTTTGAGAGAAGAATAAAGCTGTGTCTCAGTTTACAGCTGACTGTCTACAGAGAAAATCCCATGGAATCTATATAAAAGCTCCTAGAACTAATAAATGAATTTAGCAAGGTTGCAGGATATACGAGATCCCTATGTAAAAACCACAGAACTTTCAGGAAAAAATCTTTGTGACTTTGGGTTAGGTGGAGTTCTTACAAAAGCCATCAGAGACAATCCATAAAACAAAAATTGATAAATTGGACTTCATCAAAATTAAAAACTTTTGCTCTGCAAAAGAAACTGTTAAGAGAATGAAAAGACAAGCCACCAATTGGGAGGAAGTATTTACAAATGGGGGAAGCTATGCATGTGTAGGGGCAGAAGGTATATGGGTAATCACTGTACCCTCTCCTCAGTTTTGCCGTGAATTTAAAACTGCTCAAAAAAAAAAATCTTAAGAAAAAGAAAGTCAATCTGGACATTTTCTTTAGACATGCACTTCCGTTTCTCACCATAATCCTCAGCCCTCATGCACTTGTTCCTCATGTCCTGCTGCTGATGCACGTAGGCCTTCCAGGTCTGAAACATCAGGTTGTACAAGTAATATCTGAGGAGCCAAAAAAGCAAACGGCATTTCTTTAAAACAAATAATTCCTAATCTGATATACCCGGTCTGTACTCAGAAGAAACTACCATAGACATTTCCGATACAAAAAAGCCATATCTACATCCTAAGCTAAAATTTTATGTCCTACAATCACAGTGAAAACTACTGTCCTTGACAGAGTGTTGTTCTACATACCTCATAGTGTCACTGAAGAAAAAAGGCTTGACTTTTCCAAGAATGACTTCACCTTCAGCATCCACAAAGCCATGATGTTTGGAACGATAGTCATATCTTAATCATCTTAATATCCACAGTATGTAAAACACTACTTCTCCTCTACACTAAAAGATGGTCAGTGACACTTTTTCCTTTCTCTTTTCCTTCTCAATACATACACTAGGCACATTCAGACCTTCAGTCCCTTCATATTTTCACTACCCCATTTCCTAAGACTTGATTTCATACTCTACTAGCTTATTAGAATTATTTAACATATCTCTTTTATCTGAAATATATAAATCAGAACCCCTACCCCCAAAGAACCTAAATATAGAAGGGATTATAATAAGAGTGAACACTATTTTAAACACAATGTGTAAGATTTACTGGGCATATATTTCTCCTATAATCAGTACAAATTAAAACATATATTAGAAAACAGAATATTCTCAGAATTAGAAATTATATATAAGTGAAAGTCAAGGAGAAAATCTGATTCAAATCACTAGCATGACCAACACATAATGGCTACTTGAATTAGAGGAGTGTCTATCTGTGCGAGCACTCACATGCACATGTGCTTGGATTTAACTTAGGACTTTGATCTTGCTTACTCTAAATAATTTGAAGAAAAACAGAAAATGATTCAGAACATTTTTCTATTTGACCATAAACATGCCAAATAATTATTTGATAATGTGTATTAGTAAACTTGAAGTAACATAAATGAAATCTCACCTGTAGTAACAGTCAGCTCGAACACAGAGTTTCCACTCTCGATGGAAAACCCACCACTCTTCTTTCCATTCTTCAAAGACCTTCCGTAGTATCCTTTGCTTATAGTAAAACCTAGGGCAAGGGAAAAAAATCAGAGATAAATGATGATACTGGAGCTGATATCTATTTCCAAGTCACAGTTTCATATTACCATTGCTTTCTCATAGTAAAGTGTGGCTCATTATTTGATAACACCAAAATAGATTAAAAATAGACATATTTAACTTTTTCAGATCAAAACTGTATACTATAGATCCTACCAATTAACGATGTCAAAGTAAAGTAAAATAAAAATCTAACTTTTCAAATACCATAAGTGAGTTGAGAATTATTCTCAAGTTTTTTCACTCACCAGACTAAAAAATATTTTTGTGCCCTGGCCGGTGTGGCTCAGTTGGTTGGAGCATCATCCCATATAGTGAAAGGTCGTGTGTTCAATTTCCAGTCAGGATACATACCCAGGTTTCAGGTTCAATCCCCAGACAGGGCAAGTGTGGAAGGCAACAGATTGATGTTTCTCTCTGTCTCAATCCCTCTCCCTTCCTCTCTCTCTCTCAAAAAAAAAAAAAAAATCATGACCTCAGGTGAAGATTTAAAAAAATGTTTTTTTTAATTAGTAGTTCACTTCTCACTTACATACACAGGTGAGTAGAAGTTATAAAATACATCAATGCCTAATGGAAATTTCTAGTACTTAACAGGGTCTGGCCAGGGGAGTTATAACAACAGCAAAGATAAGAGAAAATAAAGAGGAGGAGGGAAGGTAATAAGAAAGAGAAAAGCAGCAACATGGTGTTGATGCTAAAAAGGCACTGTCAAGGTGATTCATAACTCAGGAACTCTGGTCCTGTCAATCACTTTGTCTTTTCATAGTGCTGCAGGTTACTAACATGTACCTCCTCCGCACCAACTCACAGTTTCAAAAAACTGGCTTGCAAAGATATACATAGGGAAGTTCTCCTCACTATTAGTCATAAGAGTAATAATAATAAATACCACAAATGTCCATTAAAAGAGGGAAGGTTAAATTCAATCAATGGCATGTAGGCATTTTCTTTTCATGACTGAAGTGAAACTAAGGACACTGATATGGAGAGATGCCAAAAAAAGTTGTCATGTAAAAAGACAGTTACCTCACAATATATATATTATACCATTTTTTAAAAATTAATATTTTTTGTATTTTCAGTACCCATAAGTTGGAATTAATATATACCAAATACATATATTTTTAAAGTGCATGTGCACAATATACATGTTATATATACACACACACACACACACGTATACACGTGTATACACATGTAAATGATTATAAGTATAAAAAGCCTGGAAAGATCTCCAGAATACCAAACTACTACCAGTGGTTCTCTCTCAGTGTGTGATAAGAGACTGGCGTTTCCTGTGTTACACATTTCTGTTGTTTAAAAAGTTTTTTAACAACAGCTTTGTTCATACACACACTGTCTCATTTTTGCCCTACTAATTCAGTGGTCATTTTGGTTTAGGTTTTGTTTGTTTTTAAATCCTCACTGAGGATATTTTTTCCATTGCTTTTTCAGAGAGAGTGGAAGGGAGAGAGAGACACGTAGATTGGTTGCCTCACACACACACCCAGACTGGAGCAGGAGCCTGCAACTGAAGTACATGTCCTTGGCCGGAGCCAAGCTGGGCACCCTTCAGTCTGCATGCCGACGCTCTAACCACTGAGGCAAATGGCTAGGGCTTGGTTTAGTTTATCAGTGATAAAACAACTCCAGTTTATAAAAGTTAAAACATTCTCCAAGCACATAAAGGCAATATTCTATAGTTCCTGATATGTCATTCCCCTCTAATATTCCTAAATGTGAGAAATAAAAATTCAATATGGAAAAGAACAAAAACAAACCCCAAAAAGACAAAGTCAATATGCCCAACCCTCCCCAAAGTAACAAACAACCCCCTTGATTTAAAAAAAGGCCCTGCCGGGCATGGCTCAGCGGTTGAGCGTCTATCTAGGATCCAGGCAACCGGGGTTCGATTCCCGGTCAGGGCATATGCCCGGGTTTCCGGCTCAATCAATGACTCATCATTGATGTTTCTCTCTCTCTCCCCCTCTCCTTTCCTCTCTCTGAAATCAATAAAGATATATTTTAAAAAAAAAAAAGCTTGCAAGTTGAAAGCAACCACCCCATCACAAATCTCTAATGAATGAAAACACAACATCAGAACTCTAATTCTGATAGATGCTAAGAGAACAAATATTCTCACTCTCTCATTTTATAATTTGAGAAAGTGAGGCCCAGAGCATTAACTTATCCCCAGATCAAACACTTAGCTAGGGTCTGAGTTAGAACCAAAACTCAGTTCTCCTATACTCCATTTCAGTATTCTTTCCCCTATACCTGGCCACCACTAAAGAGCAAAAAAAGTAAAAAAAGTAAAGCAGTGTGGCAAACATTGGTCAGTGGCTAACCCAACACCCTCTGCTTCCTCATGGGCATCCATTACAGAGGCTGGAAAGGTTTCTTTCCCAACCTCTGTATCAAAAGGTGGCCAGTGATATAGCTCTGGCCAAGGAGGCAGAAGCAGAATGTAGCTGAGGGTTTCTAGGAACTGTTCTGCTTTCCTGATAGACAGATGGAGCTGATACCACCCTTCCCCCTCCTTCCTGTGTAAAGCCAGAACAGTCATCTTGCAAGTATGCAGTGTCACCGCTGAGGACAAAGGGCCAACATGCTAAGGACGGTGAACTAGAAAGGTACTAGAAGCCTGAGTCTTTGATGGCATCACTGAACAGCTGAACCAATACCAACCTCCAGACTTCTTCTGAGAAAAAGCAAACCTCCATTTGTTTAAACCACTGCCAGACTTTCTTGAATCAAATGCATTCCTAAATAATACAATCAGCATTTCCCAACTACTTGGAATACAAATCAGTATTATTTGAAAAGAGATTTCCAATTAAATATGGGTCAAATACAAGCTAAATAAAATTGAGGAAAAAGATTTGGAGAAGATGGTGGTGTGGCAATGTTTTCAATCGCTGAATCCCCATCAAACACAGAGCAGCCATGAGGCAAAACCAAAAACTCATGTGTCAATTACAACAAAACTAGGTGACAAGACACCCCCACAAATCCAAAATGCAAGCAGGTGAAGACAAGCCACTCACAGTCAAAAGGCCTGCATGGTATTAACATTTGTACAGGAAAAAAAGGAGCAATGAGGTGACATGTGAGGAATGGAGAAGTTATGCGAATGTGGCCTCTCCCTCGATCTCAGACCAGCGCAAACTTCTCCTTCCTTCTTCACGAGTTCAAGGATAGAAGAGTCATTCTTACGGTACACCTTAGCATACTTTTTTTTTTTCCTTTCCTTATTAAGTTGGTAACTTTCACCTCTTCACTTAAAGGGAGCACTTATGGCCTCTCTTTGCTATATTCAAATTGCCAGTATCACTACTCTTACACTTTTGGGCCATTATGGAGTAAAATAAGGGTAACTCGAACACTAGCACTGTGATACAACAGTTGATCTGTTAACTGAGATGGCCACTAAGTGACTAACAGGGCAGGCAATGTATATCAGATAGATGCTCTGGACAAAGGGATTATTCACTTTCTGGGCGGGGCAGTGCGAGGTTTCATCCCGCTACTTAGAATGGTGTGCAATTTAAAACTTATAAATTGTTTATCTCTAGAATTTTCTTTCTTGCTTTCCTTCTTTAATATTTATATTTATTGTTGAAAGTATTACAGATGTGCCCTCATTTCCCCCCATTGATCCCCTCCAACCTGCTGGAGTTTTCTATTTAATATTTTCAGATCACCGTTGACCACAGGTAACTGAAACTGCAAAAATCAAAACTGTAGATTAGGGAGACTAGTGTATATTATATTCTTTAAAAGAAATATTGTATTTCCTTAAAAGAAAAATAAAAGAGTATATAACTTCTAAGCTAACAGGGAAAAAGAAATAAAATACTCAACTGAATAAAAAGTAACAAAAATAAGAGGGTTCCAATAATGGCAAACTAGGTAATTGAGATCATTTCTCCCACTGAAAACAAGAAAAGCAGGCCAAAAAAGAATTCTTTGAGGGCATTAAAGAGCTACCAAGGCAGTGAAGGACAGAGCCAAGGAGCAGGAGGTGAAAGCAGAAGTGAACTACACCTACCACCTGCAACTGGGATGGGCTATTGCCACACTAGGAGCATCGCTGGAAACAAAGGAGATGGGAACAGTAAGGACCCCCACAAGGTATAGAAAGAAAAGATTTCAGAGAACACACACAGCCCAAATTTGCATGAAAGACTTTGAATCAAGAGACTGTTGGAGATACTCCAGATTAGGAAAGCCAGACTCAGTAAAATAAAACAGGACAGATTGTAGTAAGGGGAGAGGGAAGGAGGTGAGAATCCATAACATTTGCTTACATTCTCAATGGTTGCCAATTCTCCTTCTGAAACATACCCTACATGGCCCCTTCTCTACATCCCCACTACTTGCTGCAGTGTCTCTGACCCCTGTGGCTCTCCTTTGCAGTCCATTCTGAGCACTGCAGCTAAATCTGTCTTAACCAAAACCCAAAGCAGTGAGCGGTGGCTTATACAAAGTGAAGCTATGGCAAAGGGACTTTCTCTTGACTAAAATTTCATTCCCACTGCCAGTGCCAACTTTTCCCCTAGACTGAGTCCATTTGTCCGTCTTGCCAGTGCCCTTAAACAGCTCATTTACTTCTGGGCAAATACTTTTCTCCCCACAGGCTATTACCTGTCCTGATTTACTTTATGATTCCTTCATACACTCATTCAATCAAACTAATATGTGTTAAGTTACCATTTTATTATATGCCTGCTGGAGGATAGGGGAGGGACAGGAAAGGAATGTTACACATGCCATAATAAAGGTTATACATGGGCTTAACAACTCCCCCCGAAAAAAACAACCCAGAATGAACTCAGCAGAGGCTCAGTGTTCTGACCTACCTGGCTTTAAAGGGAAATACTCTTCCAAAGGTTTTTCGAATCCACAAATACAAGAACTTCCTGGCCACACATCTGAAAGAAGAAAGGATATACACATTTATAAAACTCCATTTGGCTTATTTCATCAGTTTTCTGGAAAGGAGAAGGAAACTTTAAGGTCCCAGAGAGTGAAAGATGCTAGTATGAGTCAAAAGGTGAATCATAGCTAATCTTGCATCAAACAGAGCATAGGATGGGACAGATTTAAAAAGCTAAAATCAAGCAGATTATTATTTTTTAAATGCTTTCAATATAAAGAATTTTATCAATGAAGACATCAGAGTTGAGGGAAAGAAAGGACATGACAGTACCTTTCTTTAAATTATTCTTCCTCCCTAAAACGCCTGGCGAATGCCCACTTACCCACCAAGACTCATCTTCAACGCCTGCTCCTATGTGAAGGCTTCCTGGACCTTCCTCAACCCAGAGTGAACAGCTTTGTCCTTGCAGCACTCTGTTCTATTATGTAACATGACACCAAATCACAGTTGTCGACTCACAGGGTGCCTACAGTTCCCTGTGTGTGCCTGAGAGCAGGGATTGTGTCTTACAGCGCCTGCAGTACCTAGCACAGTCCTGACAATCGCATGGAAAAGTGACTTGTCTGGGCCAGTTCATCTCCAGTTTGGTTTGGAATGCTCTTCTTCCTCCTGCCTGTTATCTGGCCTATTCCATTAACCTTCAGGACTCGGCTTAAGCTCTGCTTCCTGCAGGAAGTCACTGCCGGCTACACTAGCATGGCTGTCCTTGCCACACGAGCCTATGATACCACACCCTCTCCTTTCATTGCACTTATCACAGTTTGTTGTGACTTGTTTAATAGTCTATCAAGCCTGGCCGGGTGTGGCTCAGCGGTTGAGCATCAACCTAGGATTCAGGCGATCGGGGTTCAATTCCTGGTCAGGGCACATGCCCGGGTTGCGGGCCAGGCAGCCCATCAATGACTCTCTCATCATTCATGTTTCTATTTCTCTCTCCCTCTCCTTTCCTCTCTATGAAATCAATAAAGATATATTTTTTTAAAAAAAAAACAGTCTATCAAGCATACCTGATTTTAAGCTTTCATGATTAGGAATGTCAAGGGCCAGGAATGTCTTACTCACCTTGTATGCTCAGCATCTAGCACAACACCTAGCCAAGGCGGCACCTCATAAATTTTATTGAATGCTTAAACAAACGGATGGATGCCTTTGATGGATCTCATCAAGAGTAATAGGAAACGATCATTTTTCTTGGGCCATGTTGAGACTTTTCCTGGAAGATTCTTTATAGCTTACACATTGTGAGATACAACTATGTGAGATAGAACGTGAATGAAAATACTCTGACAGATTTTATGTCTGCAGAATCCTAAATATTTGCTTTTCTTCTGAACATTCCATCATGAAGATGTCCAACTAACTGAGGTAAGAAACTAAGAATCACCCCTCATTTTAACCAAGAAGGGAGAACCATGGAAAAGTCCCTGCAGGCAGGTGACCACTCGCATGCTCACCTGATGCGCAATTCTCTTAATCGACCCCTTTGAGTCCGAGCATGATGCTGCACTGGGGGACTGGAACGAGGTATCGCACTCCGGATCCCAGACAAGGCAGAAGACTTCTTGTTGGACAGTATCTTTGGAGAATAAAGTTTCTTAACTACACCATCTCTAAGAGACCTTAAATTTGAGGAGTAAGGAGGAACAGAATCAAATTATCTCTGCACGTGATGCAGATACCTTCTAACATACAAGTGAAATTAAATAAACTCATTGAGACAGACTGATGGTAACTATGCTTCAGTGACAATAAGCAGCCCAGTCTGACAGAAAAACCTGCCAGCCACAGGAGGCAGGACCTGCTGTGTCAGCACTAGGCAGAAACTACAGAGCTAGAGGGCACCTTGGAGTCATTAGTCCTAACATTTTAATGTGTCATTTTAAGGGTGATCATTTATAAATAAGAAACATCCTTTTATATAAAAAGTAATTAGGAATGCTTTTCAGATAATGTGACTTTTATATCAATATGAAACCACATACTTTTACTAGTAAAACACTAAATTTCTGAATTTTAATCCCATTTTAGAAACATTAAGAGATAACATTATCGGGATGAACTCATGACTTTTAAGGTGTATGGCACAGCTCTGCCTGCAGGAAATACTTAGAAGCTATGACATTTCATTCCCAATGAGCATACCTAGAGCTTAAATGCTGTTTATAAAGTACCATTCCCTACTAAAAGGAACCAGGGCTCCTTGGAGATATGATTTTCAGGTCTGAAACAAGGAAAATATAAGATGAGCCTGAAATATCATGTTAGGTCAGAAAATAATGAAGTGTTCAAAGAACAGTGGGGGCATGTCAAAGACACAGAAGCCAGCTTGAAAGCACTCCCATTGGCCAAATCTGGGATAACTAGAACAGTAATAGTGAAAGCCCACTGAATATAGTAGAACTCTATAAATCCACACTGATATAAATAGATATATGTGGGAGAACAAAAAGCTCTACTTTGCAGTAGAACGTCAACTAATAAATTTAGAAGGAAATTATAAAAGCATAATTTAAGAACCATCATAGTAATAACTGAGTCAGATAAGAATCACTGATGGATGCAAAAACAAGTGGGTGCTAGTCTGATGAGAAACAGAACATTAATGTAGTTTCAGAAAGTATCCCCCCACAAAATACTTATTCATTGCTTTATAGTGGAGAAACCTGGCAGATACCATCTTAATCAAGTGATAAAAGTTAACATTGAGCCTGGATGGCATGGCTCAGTGTTTAAGCATTGACCTAGGATCCAGGAGATCGATGTTTGATTCCTGGTCAGGGCACATGCTTGGGTTTCGGGCTCAATCCCCAG